TTTATTCGCTCCAAAACTAGTGAAGATAGGTTCATTAGAAGCAATCTTCTTGCTAGTGCAGCATCAGCAATTGCGTTTATCGTTTTTCACCAATCAAAAAAGCATATGTAAGTACTCCATTTAGAAGCCCAACTTGGTAATGTCCCACTTGAACAATGCCGTTTTGGTACACTTCTGTGCCGATGTCGTATGCAATTAAGAGTGCTCACTAAATGCTACTAAATTACGTAAATGACTCAATAGTTCCTTTAGCCACTTTCATTTCTCCACACAACAAGGGCAAAAGCTTTAATAAGCATCAATAATTATTCATATGTTTAGTTAGATATTATTAAAGAATCATTAGTCATCAGTAATTAACACTGTCTTTGCTGCCATTGTCGTTGCCGTCGTATTTGTGAGTCACATGGCGCAGCTTCTCTAATGACATGTTTCCAAATTGTTTCTCTCTTTAAATCCTCCTTCAATTCGATTGATGTAAAAGGCAGCAGATATTCAGCGTTCCCTCGGCATTTACCGTCGACCATATGCAGCTGTTATTGTTGTTTATTGGATGTGTTGTGCTGGTACGACCTGCTGAAATGTAGCACTTTCACCAAGTTCCACTGAACTGTCCTTCTACTTTGTTTCACGTGTGAGTGCACATTGTGCTGAGGTGTGAACACAGCAGGCAAAAGAAGATGACACAGTGGAAAACAAACAAACGCCGCGGCATTCTTTGTTTCACATCGATCTCCCAAGTTCATCGCTAGATAAAAAGTCCTCATCATTGTCTCTTCTTTCACTTCCCATCGATACTTTTAGCAGCTTTATATTTTTTCTCATACCCCTAATGTTTTGAGTCAATGACAAGATAGTTGTATTGTTTTATCTTTTACTTGCACTTGAAAAAGACAGGTTTTTAATTTTTAATTTTCTTTGTAAGAATCAGAACATGTTCAATTCAATCTAACTGCACATTAACATCTGATTATCTTTTTTGATATTTTTTTAAATTGCCCCTTTTGTAAGCGACACTTTCTCAGGTTGCTTTTTAACTGTTGCCCTATGCTTATTTTTATGCCAATACTGGTCAATTGCAAGCATTTTGGGAAACGTGTGACCACCTGACAAAAAGTGTAGCAGACATTCTCATGACATGATGCACTCGTGGTTTCAATCACTGAAACAGTGAAACCCAATTCGATCAAACAGACAGATGTGTGTGTACAAATAATGGCAATGTCACTCAAACTTTTTGTCGATTCACTATTGCGCCGTCTGTTTTCTCTTTCATGTTCACTCTCTTCTGTTCACATCCCTACGCGATAAAAATCAAGCAATTTGCGATGTGAAACATGACACATGATTGTATCACCTGCCACCAACAAAACCAAAAAATGGCTTCTTTTGCAGACAAAATTTGATATTAAAACCGCTCTCATTTGCTCAATTTTTAAATTACATAACACACAGAGTAAAAACCGCTTTGAAATAACAAATTCACGTTTACAAATACATTTTCAGGGTAAAGTGCAGCTCTCTCGCACCTTTTATTCTGCCTTGCAAGAATGGCCAATGAAGAGAGCGAAGTTCGTCTGACTCTGCTGGAGCAGCCAACTACCACCAGCGATGACAACAACAATCTGCCAACAATTCTCAGTTCCTCCGGTGGCGGCAACGCACCGGACGCAGAGGAGGAATTCACCGAAGAAGCGACCGTGCACTCAGATGATCCACTCTCACAGCTGCTCAGCAGCTCACAGCTACTGGCACTGAATGACAGCCCCAAGGTGGTCATTGTCCCCACGAAGGGCTCCTCCATCTCTCGAAGTTGCACTTCAATTGCCGCCAAAAAACATGGCCTCGAGCTCGTCTGGCGCGACCTTACCTACGAGGTCAAGAAGAAGTCCTGGGTGCCCTTTCGAAAGGCCACCTCTCGAAAGCTGATTCACAATCTCAATGGCGGCATCCAAAGTGGCCAGCTGACGGCCATCATCGGTCCTAGTGGAGCAGGTAAGGACTGCTGTTTGGCTGTTGCTGTACAGTTTTAGATTCTAATCTAATCGGGTAATCACTGGTAACCAGGCAAGACCACCCTCATTGAGTGCCTCTCCGGTCGTCGTGTCGCCGGTGTCTCAGGCGACATTGAAGTCAACTACAACGGGTGAGTGGCCCACGTTAACGCTGAGAAAATCAATTTTGTGTCAAGTTACAATTTTTATTAACCTTTTCTCTAATGTTTTTTTCGCCAGCGTATCTAAAAGCTCCATCAAAGTGTCGTACTACTCTCAGCGCGACTCACTCAACGAACTTCTCACAGTTGATGAATCACTTGAGTACGCTTCGAAGTTGGCCAACTGTTTGAAGAGTTCACGGCGCAAGAATGCCCTGCTCTCCAATGGCATCGATGTAGCGAACCACCGTCAGCACCTGAAGGGCAGCGCCTTTCCCGATGGCCAGGTGGAGCTGGAGGAGCTCAATCAGCGGTATTACCATCGAATTGTCGTCGAGAGAATGCTCGAGGAGCTGAATTTGAAGAAGTGCGCCCACGTTCTGGTCGCTGGCCTCTCTGGTGGTCAGAAGAGAAGACTGAGTATTGCGCTGGAGCTCATCTTTTCGCCCTCCATCATCATTTTAGACGGTACTACGACTTAAAAAGGCTTAAAAATTTTACTAATAAATCTTTTTCAAAACTTGTAGAGCCAACATCCGGCCTGGACTCTCTGTCGTCGCTGCAGTGCATCTCCATGCTCAAGAAGCTGGTCACCAACTCCTGTCGACCGATGATCATCGCCTGCTCCATTCACCAGCCGACAGCTCGCATAATGTCCTACTTTGATCACCTCTACATTATCTCCTGCAACGGTCAGTGCATATTCAACGGGCCAACTCCTGATTTAGTTCCCACGCTGTCTCGTTTCGGTCTCAGCTGTCCGCAGTACCACAACCCAGCTGACCATGTGGTGGAGATTGCCAGTGGAGACTACGGTTTCGACTGCATTGACCTGCTAGCGGAGAACTTCAAACAGGTGTGCGCCGAACAGGTGATCGACAGTGAGAAGTGCCAGTCAAAGGTGAAGATGCTCAAACTGGTGCAGAAGACGCAGAAGCACAGCGTCTACAAGCAAATACTCACCACGGTTATACTCACCAAGCGAACAATGGTCACCACGATGCGTGATCCAAACATTTACATATCTCGTCTGGTCACCACTGTCTCCACATTGGCCCTTCTGGTCATTCTCTACAAGGACGAGAAGATCGGCATTCTTGACGGCTGTGCTCAACGGCCAAACAAAGCTACCATTGACCAGTTCCAGAGCATGGAGATCTTTGACACGCGAAACTCTTTCTACGGCAATTTTGGTTTCATCTTCTTTGCCGTTGTCTTCACCATCTTCACGACCATTCTGCCTACTTTATTGCGATTCCCTCTTGAGGTAGGTAACCAAACATTAGGAAACAAATAAACAATAATCATTTCGCTTTTATTTCCAGGTGTCGGTGTTTATAAAAGAAAACTTCAACGGCTGGTACTCTCTGAAATCGTACTACATTGCTCATCAGATTGTCGATTTGCCGCCCATGTTCATCTTTCCAATACTCTTCGGCACTGTGTCGTACTTTATAACGTATCAATTTTTCGAGTGGCCTCGTTTCATTCTCTTTCAAAGCATTCTTGTTGGCTTAGCCTTTCTGGCCCAAGGTGTTGGCTTTTTAGTTTCGAGTTATTTCGTAAACGATGTTACCACTTCAGCAGTGGTGGGGGCGATTTTGAATATTCCATTATTTCTTTTTACCGGCCTGCTAATCAAAATCTCCATCATGCCCAAGTTTTTTCAGGTAAGTGACTAGTAAGAGATTACATGAAAACTAAATCTAATATACACGTCTTTTTTCAGCCCATCACATACTTGTCGTACTTTAGACTGGCCTTTGAGTCACTGCTGGTCACCATCTACGGCCTCAACCGGTGCGATCCAGTGGAGCCAATGAACTTTTCCTATTTGAAGAATGAGTTTGGCGATCAAATAGTAGACATGTTTGTGTGCATCAATGAGTTCAGCCCAACGGCCACTGACAACATCACCCAATTTATTGACAACTACAATGATCACTTCCTAACAAACGTCAACCAAAGCTCGTCTTCATTAGCTTTGCAAAACTTCAGCTACAATGATCAAACTCTCTACTTCAATGTGGGAATTATGTTCTTGTACATAATCGCTCTCCGAGTAATTGCATATCTAGTTCTCTATAGAAAAACCAAAGTTAAGTAATAAGCACATAATCAAAACCACAGAAACGATATTACACATTATATCATCAAAAGTTATATATGATTGTTAGTTTTAAAACCATAAGCATTTATCTTGTATTTGAACAGCAATAAATAATTTGCGGAAAAAACATTAAAGCAAAAACAAAAAATTGTTTTTATCATGTTTTCCTCAATTATCACACTTTAATTTTAATTGATAGTGGTATTTGACCGGCAATTTTTTTTGTAAAAAAACTCCAAAAAACAATGCAATATGTTTCTCTTTAATGGACGTTTTGTTATGCAAATATAAACACCACTAGGTGCCGACTTCCTCAATGGACAAAAAACCAAAGATGTGTGCATCAGATTGAGAGTGCCCACAAAGCCGCGGTGAGTTGAAATCTACGCTTTTTATTAGATTACAGAAGGTTAGCGCGCAGCTATATAAAAAGAAGGAAATGAGAACATTTTGCGGTAAAACACACAATGATGAATAGTACAAAGGTGGACATTGAAAGTGTCGAAAAAGCTGTGCCAAACAATGTGACATTGGGATTTTTCAAAAGATGGCAAACCAAACTTGCCAAAGTGAAGTGGTCCAACGTATTCTACCTCAGCATTTTGCATATTCTTTTTGTAATTGGCGGAGCTTACGTCTTACTATCAAGTCAAACAATCAACATGTACACAGTAATTTTCACATATGTTATTGGTTTAACTTCGGGCATTGGAATGTCAGGTAAGGGTCTTTGTTGAACAGCATTGCAGTTAACATTACTAACCGTTGACAAGTTGGTGGCCACAGACTGTGGGCGCATAAAAGTTTTAAAGCTCGCCTTCCTCTGCGGATACTGCTGTCCATTCTGCAGGCAATGACAATGAACGGGAGCGCCTACAGCTACGCGAGGGACCATCGAACACATCACAAGAACACCGACACAGATTGCGATCCAAAGAATCCGTCTCGAGGGCTCTTCTACAGTCACATCGGCTGGTGGTGCCTAGTAAAGTCTCAGCAGGTGAAGGACGCTGGCAGTAAGCTGGACTTCAGTGACCTCAAGGATGACTGGGTCGTCTGGTACCAGCACCTCTTCTACAAGCCCATTTTTGTTGTTTTCGGCATCATTCTGCCTGTGGCCGTACCGTATTACCTCTGGAATGAGCACCTCCTCGTTGCATTCTTCGTCTGCGTAGTCTTCCGCGTCACAACAGTGCTACATCACCTTTTCACTGTCAATTCATTGGCGCACTTCTTTGGCAGTCGTCCTTACGACTATCGCATTCGACCGACAGAGAATCGACTGGTCATCTATCTTAGCCTGGGTGAAGGTAAGTTTGCGCACAACTTTTTGTTGAATTTATTGTTTAGTATTTTTTATTGTGTTTTAGGAAATCACAACTACCACCACACCTTTCCCTACGACTACTCCAGCAGCGAGAAGAAAGCTTGGGAGTTTTTCAATCCGTCGACGCTGTTTATTGATTTTGCCGTTGCCATAGGCCTCGCCTACGACCGAAAGAAGGCCTCTCGGGCAGTTATAGAGGGCACCATCAGCCGTAAAGGCATTCCAGCACACTTTGACAAGCCTCGCGGAATATGCTTTCGAATATTCAATGGTCTCTGTGACTGGATTCTTGGCATTGCGCTTCATGTTTGGCCGGTTGCTTTTGGTTTTGCATATGAGCATTTCAGTGGCAGGACCATTTTTGTGTACGGAATTCAGGCAGCCAGCTAGTGCAATGACAAAATGAACGAAAGCAGTACTTTTTTGTAATTGAATGCCAATTAGTGATTGTCAAACTCTAAGTAAAGGCAATCATTCATGGTGGTTTTTTGCAAGTTTCATCCCTACCCATCGAGTACATCGAGTCAAGTAATTTATGTGCAGGCAGCATTTTACCACTTAATCACTTTGCAGGCATCACTTGCAGTGTAATTTGTAAATTAATGAATGCTGTAAAAAATTATAAACAGCATTGATGATGCTGTTGTTATCAACGAGTCGGACGGCACTGGCACTGGTACAGTAGCTGCTTACTTGACGGAAAAAGCAAAAGTGCAATCGATTCGTCCATTAAAAAGTGATGCATCATGTAAATAATATATAATTTTGTCTTTATCAGTAGCTAGAAAGCATAAAAGAGGTGTATGTGCAAAAACCTGCTTTGCATCTTCAAACTGTGTTCGCTTGTGTGCACTGCCAGTTAGCCAAAAGTGGTCAGGTGAACTTGTGATTCGTTTCCCTTCTGACTCACGTCACGGTCATTCTGAACGCCACTGGTCATGCAAATTAACTGAGAATGTACATGTTCATCAGTGGTGGTGAAAGTGAAAGAGTACAGTATCAATAGACTGATCGCCATGACATCATCAATGCAGACCACTGCCCATCTCGGTGAATCGAATTCTACAAGCACTTCAAGTGCAAGCCTGATGAGCTACAGTTGAAGAGCAACCTTTTATTTTTCCTCAACACTTAGATCCACACACAATCATTTCTATATAAGTTGAAGGCTTCTTCTGGCAAAAATTTCCATTGTTATTTCACTTTCACCTTTTCCACTAAACTGATTCATTGTTTCTCAGCACATTTTCAAAATGGTCGTTTTCTGCTTCAAAAAGTTTCCTTCAATGATTTTCTTGGCAGCATTTTGCTGTGTATTGATTTTTTCTTTAACTAG